GTATTTATTTACATGTGTGCACCAGGAAGGAGAGGATAATTATGCTCTAAGGCAGGGATGGGAAACTATGGCCCCTTTATGACTTGTGGACTTTAACTCCCAGAATTCCTGAGCCAGCTGGAGCTTCAGTTCTGGAAGTTGATTCCACAAGTCATAAAGGGGCCGTTCTCCACCTCTGCTCTAAGGGAAACTTAAAACGGAGGAGTTGTCAACATTCTGAACCATTGGCTCTCCCATGTACTTATGTACTGGGGACATCTTCGGGGGATTTATTTTCTGTAGAATCTTCAAGTATATCTAGCCCATTTCAAATGCACATTTTCTTTAGTCCTAAGAATGGACAAAGACCAAAGCCCTTTAATATAATTTCTTTCTGATATGTTTCATTAACGTTTGTGTGTGTACTTGTCTTCTTAGTAGAAAACTGAGAACAGTTTGAAATAAAATAAATGCCCTGTTATAGCCGAGCAGCTAATTCTGTTTGTTTGTTTGAGGAACCATTAATTTTGCCCATCTCACATGTTCTGACAAAGTTGGCAAGCTCCAATGCCCAGCAATTAAGTAGTGCCATCTTATAGGACCCTTTTCTGCAATGGCATCTGCCTTCTGAAACACCATTTTATGACTCCCACTGTGACCCTATTTAAATGAGCCCTTAAAACCTGGCTGGGTCCCCAGGCTTTGGGATAGAGGGGGCAAGTATGATGCTTTGAATGGTTTTCAGCTTCTTCTTTTAGTTTCTTTTTGTAGCAGTACCTTGCTTTTAAACTATTATTCTTTTTCTTTTCTTTTCTTTTCTTTTCTTTTCGTTTCTTTTTCTTTCTTTCTTTTTTTGCATTTGTATTTGGTGAGCCACCCAGAATTGTGACAAATTAGGGCAGCCCATGAATTCCATAAATACATAGTGCTTCACATCCTTCACAAGATCTAGACAAAGCTTACATTCATTTAATCAGGAATATATTCACATAAACTGAATTCTGAGCATTGCTTTATTCTGTTTACATTTGAATGTGAATGCCATCATTTTCACAACAGAAAGAAGAAACAGCTATTCACAAGAATACTTGTTTATATTGAGCAATTCATATTTTAATGTAAAAGTGTTACCAAAATACAGAATGCAAAAGAAGTTTGCTTGCAAACTTAGTAGTGTAAATAAAGATATTATTCTATTAAAAGCATTAATAGAAACATATAAAATTGTTTTAAATTAAGTGTTGTATACTTCTCAGAGTTACTTTCATACAAATATGATAAATAAAAATGTTTCTGAATTTACATAGCCTTTAAAATTGCAAACTAGTATGGCAATAGGATGAACTGAAGACTGCAAATGAAATGAAATAAAATTCAGCTTGACCATTTCATTCATCTGTTTATGATTAAAAACACTTAGCTTTTGCATAGATGAAATTTTAAATTTTAAAAAGTTACATGCTTCCCAGCCCTCTGGTATTTTTACAATTGTATTTTAGATCTCTTTTTATTTTGAATCAAACTGTTGATTCATTTATCAATAGCCTGTTTCCTGACCAATATAATGTATGTTATATTAATTCCTACTTACCAAAGACTGAAATCTATCACAACTGGCTCTCACATTGTGGATAGATTTGAACTACAATCAATCAATCTATCTATCTATCTATCTATCTATCTATCTATCTATCTATCTATCTATTTATTTATTTTTCATATTTCTATGCCGCCCAACTCTCCGAGGACTCTGGGCGGCTTACAACAAAGACAATATGAACAATATACAATAAGAGACGTTAAAAAAACCCATACACACCGCTCATGGCCGGATCTCGCAAGATCGCAGCGGCGAGATCAACGGCCCCAAGCCTGCAGGAAAAGCCAGGTTTTCACCATTTTCCGGAAGGCCAGTAAGGTGGGAGCAGTCCGGGCCTCAGGAGGTAGCTGATTCCAGAGAGCTGGGGCAGCCACAGAGAAGGCCCTCCCCTGCGGACCCGCCAGTCGACATTGTTTAGCTGATGGGACCCGGAGGCGGCCAACTCTGTGGGATCCTACTGGTCGCTGGGAGCTATGTGGTAGAAGACGGTCTTGAAGATAGCCTGGCCCTAAGCCATATAGGGATTTAAAGGTAATAACCAACACCTTGAATTGTGACCGGAGACCGATAGGAAGCCAGTGCAGCTCACGGAGGATTGGTGTAATATGGGAGTACCTAGGTGCAGCCACGACCGCTCGAGCGGCTGCATTCTGGACCAACTGTAGTCTCCGAACACTTTTTAGGGGTAGCCCCATGTAGAGCGTGTTGCAATAATCCAACCGTGAGGTGACGAGGGCATGAGTGACTGTGAGAAGAGCCTCCCGATCCAGGTAGGGCCGCAATTGGTGTACAAGGCAAACCTGTACAAAGGTCCCCTTAGCCACAGCTGCCTTGGTGTTGCTCTAATCTCAGCTGTGGGTCAAGGAGGACACCCAAATTGCGAACCTGTTCTGAGGGGGAGGAATTTCGGAGGAATATTGTTATTAAAAACTGCTTGCCTTGATGACTTCTTCTAGATCAGAGAATTATCTCAGGAAAAGATTGGTTGTTCAAGATCTGAAGTGTGCTCATGCCCCTTAATTAACATACTGTGTTATGGTTCTGACAGAAGCAGTAGTAGGATAAGAATTTTTGGCAATTTTCTGAGGAATACTCTAAGCCATCCTAATTGTCAAAACTTTGGAGATAGAATACCTGCTAGCTTGTGTGTATGTGGGGTGTGGGGAGGAATGTCTCTTTGTTCGTCAAGGTATCTTGCTATAATTAATTTATTTTTTTCTTTCTATCCTAGGTGGGCCCAGCAGGATCCCAGTTTGGCTTGTTAGCCTGCCTTTTTGTGGAGCTGTTCCAAAGCTGGCAGGTTCTAGAGAATCCCTGGAAGGCTTTTTTTAATCTTTCTGGGATTGTCCTTTTTCTCTTTGCCTGTGGCCTTCTGCCATGGATTGACAATATTGCACATATATTTGGTTTCCTCAGTGGCCTATTACTTTCTTTTGCCTTCCTGCCCTATATCACTTTTGGTACTGCAGACAAATACCGCAAACGGGTGATGATCATTGTCTCACTACTGATCTTCGTTGGTTTGTTTGCATCTCTTGTGATCTGGCTGTATGTATATCCCATTAATTGGCACTGGACTGAGTATCTAACCTGCTTGCCTTTCACAACCAAGTTTTGTGAGAAGTATGACTTGGACCAGACCTTGCACCAATGAAGCATTAAGTGGATTTAGTGGAAAGGATTTTGAGGAACAAGGACAAAGGCAGCTATGCCTGTATAAAGCAGAACATCTTCATTTCCAGTTTCCTATTTGGAAGTTTTAAGTATCATTCATGAAACAGCATGCACCAAGTGCTGAAGTTGAGCAAGTGGGTAGTCCCTGCCATCTTTTGTGATGTAAAATATAATTAGGTGTAACTCTATGGCAATCCTAAATATCAATTAACCATTACCTGGAGAGTTACGAGTATAAATCGGGTTCATATCAGAACATTTCCCACTTATGTGCCTTGCATCAGAAGGCAGTCTCCATACAGCTTTGTTCCTGAGATCCCTTCCAGACATGAGCTCAGCCTTCGAGGTAAAGTTTCTTTTGAAGAACTGGCAAAGAATCCAAAGATATCATTCACTTGTGGGGCCGATTGGGCATTTGTGAGATGGAGGTCAGCCAGACAATGACTTTCAAAGACTGTATTAGCTATGGACATCCTGTTGAACTGTTTCCATTGACTATCTGCCAGTCTCTATGTTTTCCTACTTGAAATCCCTCCTTTTTATGCAAATCCTGGTTTGGGGTTCCTTTCCTAGTGCCATTTGGCGCAATATGGTGCAATATGGTGCTTGGACCTTGTGGCAGTTCTCCCTGCCTTAGTGCCTTTTTATGGTACTAGGAATTGTACTGTGAAAATAAACCCCATCTTTTTGTACAAGGGGCATTTTTATATGCAAATTCTTGTTTTGCATTCACAATCTCTGTACGTCACTAGGGTCAAATACTTTTTGACCAAGAACATTGCTTTTAAAGGCACCTTGTCCTCAGTAAGAAATGCGGGTAGTTATTCCAATATTTACATTGGGTTGATAACGCAGCAACCTGTGATTTCTTTAAAAGAACACTTGAAGTATAACTCCTTTCTAAAAGGAAAGGAAGATAATCAGATTCTCTAGTGACAAAATGAGAAGTGTAAAAAATATTTTTGGTATAAATAAATGAATTTAAATTCTATGAGGAGTATATGTTTTTGTATGCATGTATTTCTAACCCTCAATTAGAAGTATTGAAACTGGAGGTACATCTTCCCGGAGAACATGCTGTAACTACTAACTACGGTTAATTTAGAATTCTGACTCATTGTTTTGCCCTGAGCAACAAAGCATTCCAAAATCTTACTGTGCTCTAAGTGGTAATTTATTACAGCCTTTGATTGAGAATATTTTTCTATAATTATTGTTGCTAATGTGTAAATATTAGACTGTTCCTTTGATGAAACTGAACAATGTGTCCCAGTTGACACTGTTTATCTACTTTTCATTAAAGATCGTTTTGGAAATCATTTCTTTGCATCCAAAGTATATTAATTTTAATGCTTAACTCGTATCCCACTTACTCCCAAAATTGGTTAAAGCTTGCCATTTCCCTTGCACTGCACTGCTGTTCCTTGCAAATCTTTGATTGACAAGTATCTTCACAAAAGTGCCATGATGATACAATATATGTATCACAAAGCCCTGTGACTCTACTGTCTTGATCAGTGATTTTTTGAAGTGTTCTTACTCCCTACTCTTGGAATCTTGTTCATTATCTGTATCGTGTACCTGTGGAGTAACCGAGTAATGGAAGTTACTCTGATGATGATCCTTTGCCATCACCTCCAATCACAATCTCAACATGACTGTATTCTATAAAATAACTTCCCAGTAAGTGTCATAGTCTGATTGATTACATCATGATATAGGCAGAGGGGAAAAGATCAAGAACATGTTAGGAAAAAAAGACATTTATTGCTGACTTGACAAGTGGTAAATGGCACACGCAATAACATTTGGAGAATGCTTCCTTATTCAGTGGCAAGAACTTTAACATTTTCCTATGCACAAGGTTGACCGAGTAATTAATTCAAATGTGCAACTACTTTATAGTCATTGATTACACACAATGGATTATAAATTTGACATCTCCTAAATAGTTTCCTTGGAGCTAATCTCATTGGATTTAGCAGTGCTTACTTTGAATAGATAGGCTTATACTGCCTTAGTAAGGAGCCTTTTCCCAGTCCCACACGAATAAAAGCAAACAAACAGGTATCTGCTCTCTTCATAAGTAAGGCAGAATGCCTAACTTCCTCCTTTTGCTCAGCTTTTATCTCTACTGCAATTGTGGTAAGTAGACCAGATTGCACCAGAAAACGCCCACGTCTATATCTGATTATAGTTAATTTTTTTAAATCCAAACAATAATACAAAGCATTCTGACCTATATTCAAAATATGGCCATTTCAACTGTGGAAACATGCCCCCCCCATTCAAAATATTTTGCAAACCTCTGGCTGATTAGCTTGTGCTACATCAAAAAAGAATATTTTTCCCAAGTAGCTTTCTATCACTTTAGGGGCAATCATGTACTATGACTTATACAGGTAGCCCTCAATTTACTAGCACAATTGGGATTGGAATTTTCATTGTAAATTGAGTCAGAATCAGACTATTTTTACAGTGATTGTTAAACGAATCACCAAGGTAGTGTTAACTGCTGTTAAGTGCAAGTGCAGGTTGTAAGTCACTTTTTCCAAAGCCACCTTAACTTTGAACCATTGTTATATGAACAGCCTGAAGTGGAGGACTATCTGTATCATGCAAATTAGTAGGATTCATGTTGAATAGATTGGTTAACAGATTGGCCCTTGCTTTACTCCACTGCCTAATCTCTGGAGTTCAGGCTTGTTATCAACTTCATTTTTACAGATAAAAAGTTATTACTGGTTTTCTAAAACCAACAGGATGGCGGGCAAATAGATGATGATCTGGCTTTAAATGAAAAATTTATACAAATATTTCCCTTGACTCACAACTGATAGGACTGAACAATGACATACATATATACAAAGACAAATAAAAACACACTGTACATCTATTTTTTCTTCCATCCTATGTCAAGGGGATCTTCATGGGTAGAATTCACTGCACATCATATGCATTAAGGGACAATTAAATGATGAAGTATTTACAGGAATTCTGCTCGGAAGCCTCATGGCTTTATCACTAAGGCAGTATATATTTATAAAACATGAAGTGACATACCTTTACATACCAGTATAACAAGGTATAAATTGCTCTCCAGTGAACAAAAAGCAATAACTTACAGTAAGTTTTGTATAAATACACTTAGTTACTTGAAGACTGTGAAACTGAAATCACCAATTTTATGAATTCAAAGCTCCTTGTAAATAGAGCTGTTATTATTAATGAATGAAACATGAATGGCAAAATCCGTAATTTATAATGAATCTCTGCAATACTCATAACTGTTACTACCAAATCTTAGTAGTTAGAACTGCAAGCAGCTATCATGTTTTGCTGCCTTCATGGTTTAAATTTGAGAAAATAAATTATTGCATTATTCCTTATTCTATTTTACAATCATTATGTTCACCCAGTGCTCACCTAACACTTTTTTTCCACATGGTTTGTTCAATGCAAAGTGATCTAGTTGTCACATCAAACTAAACAACAACATGCTAAAGTTCATTACAGCTTTACCCTCATGTGAGAACTTGACCAGTGCAAGACACAAGAGAGAAGTAAGGCTTAGCTATAATTTTTAAAGATAGACTTGCTTGTAATCTTTACATTCTTCTTATCTTACAATTGAATGACTGTAGCAGCTTACAGTGCATTGTCACTTGTAGATCTCTTAAGCATCATATAGTAAAGATGGTGAAACTTTCAAAGGGTGGGATCTATCACTACTTCCTTTTCAGACTGAGTAGGTTTACTCGCTCAATACTGCTGAATCAGAAGGCTCTTATACTCATGGACAACCAAGGTCTTGCCTTTCAGCACTTCCTGGATTCATTAGACTTCAGCTCCATCTGAAGGACTGAGAATCACAGCAGATATTATTTTGTTTTCTAACCAGATAGTTGGAAATTAACAAGAAGGGGAAATATCTCAGCAGCCACTATTTCTGCGCATATATGCATGAGCCCGAATAGCGCAGTTCATCTCAATGAAATTTAATGAACCAATAGTGATCTCACAGGGGCCTAGCACTTTAAAGCCACACTTAGTATAAAAGGGAATGAGAAAGTCCTCACACATCAGTGTGGCTCGACGCACATAGGGCAGAGAGCATAGGTACTGTAGGTAGCGCCACATCAAGATAGATCCTTTGCCTTGCTGGCGGAAAGTGCAATGTACTGCCAGAACATGTATGTGGACTATGGTACCATCAGGCTTGTGTAGAGTCAGTGCATCCTGCCATGAGAGAAGAGAAAAGAAACTGCTTTTTAGAGATTAGTTTTTGAATCTCTTCCTGTTGACAACTATATTCATCTCAAAATGTTTGCCTTACCAGATCCTTGGGTCATTAGTCTCTCAGTAAGAATCATACAATTCATTTATTCACACGGTGTTTTTTTTAACTTTTGGATAGATGAGCTATGACTTCAAGGAATCCAGTAATTTCAGACCAGGATTTTTGCATTCTCAATCTATCTTGCCCAGTTTCCATAAACTTATTGAATAAATCAAAGCTTCATTGTAGATGAGCTAGACATCTTGTGATGTCTTGGGCACATCCATGTGATTTCCTTGACAACAATAGAACTGTAGTTGGCCATTGTTTACTTCCAATGTTTTCTTCAACTTCTCAGTTTTGTCTACAGCTCTGGGAGTCCCTGATTCTACCTAAGTACTAATCAAGCCTGAACCTGCTTACATTTTTGTGCCCAGAAAAAGTTGTCCAGAAGTTGGCCCTGATGAAACAAAGACTACAGCATTTCAACAAACCTATTCTCATTCAGCAGTTTGCTCATAGGTGCAAAAGTGTGAAAGCTCTTCAGATTATCTGAAGTGTTTCTGCTTATTTAACAACAAAATAGTGTCTGGAAGTTTGCAAAAATGCAATTTTATATAAATAGAAGCATATTTTCTAAGTGCTTGGTGCCCAGATGGCTGTGTATATATTTGTAAGTGCATCTATCTACGTACATACCTACTATTCCTCCCTTGTTGGTAATAAGAGATGCTGAATTATTTTTTAAAAATAGGGTTCAGATTCTGTTCTCATTCATTCTCTCCCAAATACTGTATAAAATAACAAAAACATATTTGGCTTACCTGGCTGAGTCTTTCCTGGTCCCAGAGGGAGCCAATAATGAAAGCAACTAGTTGGCCTTCTTCAAACAAGCCAAGTGACAACTCAGGACATAGGTTAAGAAAATGGCGAATCTCATCCAGGTGCAGGGGGCAATCTTCTGACACTGAAATAAAGGCTTGAGGGAAGAAGAAAGGGAGATGTTGAATTTTGTCCTGCTGATTACAGTAAGATTAAACTTCCAGAAAACTAGGAAAATATTGGCCCTGCCCAAGAAAAAAATGAAACTAGGTGAGAGGATGAAACTGACAAACTTTTGAGTCTTGAAACTGAGATTTCAATAATCCAATCTGGTTTCTTCTTATTATAAGGTTTTCTATGAGGGGATTTAACTAATGCCTTTCATTGCAATGGGTTTTCTTTTATCAACTATGCCAGGATTCAGTTACAGGCAGAGCTAGCAGACAAGCGTTCAAATGCATAAAGTCATACATTTTTGGGAACTGAGTTAATCTTTAGCCTATTTACTATTCCAGAAATTATTATATTTCAAATGCAAATGTGCACCACATTTATGCTGGGGCATAGTCTGAATCACATTAATGTTCAGGTTTAGCTGAAAATCCCAAACTATCTATGAAAAAAACCAGTTTCATCATACATGTCTCTAGGAAATACAAATGGGGGGGTTTGGCAAAATATGGAACATACATAGATTATAGAGCTGCTGCAAACATTAGAACTGGGAAAAGAAATGTTCTCTCTGTGTGGTTAGCCAGCAGAATTCTTCCCCTCTATGCCTGACCCAATTGCAACTTGTACTTGAGGGAGATGCTGTTCTGTTCAGTTTCTGCTTACTGCTTAGAAAATAAACAGTTTGGTTTTTATCTTTTTGAATACAATATTAATTAACTGTATCAAATAAAACTTATACATAAGGCATGATGCAGTTTTTATTGGTGCACTGTTAATTTAACTATCAATATCGTATTATACTATGGCTGAAATTCTGGTGAAAATCTGAATATACAGTATTTTACTGTCACTAAGTCTTTCCAAGTATTGGCTTTTCTAATGCTTCAGATGAATCTTTAGAGTAGTATTTTTTCCCCAATAATTCCTTATTTATTATAATATTTTTCCTTTATTTGTTTTTCTGGGAAGAAGGGTGCTTTCATATCTGTTGATTCCTGGTGATTGCCTGGACGAGTCCCTGCCATTTTCTTGGCAGCATTTTCAGAAGCGGGTTTTCATTGCTTGTTTCCTAGAGCTGAGAGAGATTGTCTCAAAGTCACTGAGCTAGTTTCTTTCTTTAACATACAACTAGAACTCATTAGAACCGTTTCTAATCTGGTGCCTTTCACCAATATACTAAATCAGTTCTCTTTTTTAATTTAGACATACTGTGTATTATTTTGCCTTCCTACTAGCTAGTTTGCTTTGACTTCTCAGCATTTGGGAACATGGGAGATAACAATCGTGTGCCATGCTTGATAGATGTATTTGGAGAAAAAGTGCAAGAAAGATGAAATTCTGCTTTTTAATTGCACTGGCTGCAGCTTAGGATACTATACCATACTATTGCTTCCTTGCTTTTCTTCATATCACACACTCACTCGCACACCAGCGTGTAACTATCTTATTCAAAAGCCCATTAATACAGTATAGTTCTTCCATATCATGACAATGTATTTCGTAAGATTAAACACAAGAAATAGATTTTACCTTCTCTCTCAATTTCAAATACTCCAATGGCATCTTCAGGTGTGAGACACCGGAATTCGCTTGCAGGAAGTGTGTGTCGACGCTGGCTCCTAAGGGAGTTTTGTGAAGATCTGAGATAAGAGGATTTGAAAAATGGCAAAGCACTGATCATAGACATCTTCTATGTATTTCTGCCTCTTCTGTAAATGTTTCTTCTCCTCCTTTTGGGATAGCTGTTTAATTCAATTGCCTCCAGCACAATTAGTCAGCAGATGAGAAGACCTGCAGAGATTGCAATGTTTTGTTGTTAAGAAACTGGCATGACCACTGAGTTTCTGATCCTTGCTGTCATACCCACTGAGGAATGCTAAGGCGCAGCCTAAGGTAGATGGGGTGGGGGAAAAACAGTATGGGATACTGGGCATCTTTTGTGGCCAGTGTGGATAAAAATCAATGATTTTTTTAAATAAAATGCTTTTTGAGGAAAATATATTACCATCCAAAGGTTATTCCATCATGAAATAAAGATTAGTTTTTTAATTATGTAGTATAAGGCTGTATATGTTTAATTTTTTTGGTAAATAAATCCCATTAATCCATTCACAATGTCATGCTCATCCAGAGGTTTTTGTAAGATTATTGGGCAGTTTCTCTGCCTACAAGATATTATCACAAATGCTTGGTTTACTTTTGCAGTTGTCAAAACTGAATTTGACTCAGCAGAGATCACATGCCTCTTCTTCACAGCAAAAAATGTTATAACATGAACAAAGTTGAGAAAAGACCTTAATCCTATTGTTCTACAAATCTATGAATACAGAATCAACTCCTTCAGTGCTAAGTTTCAAGAAGTTCAGTGAATAGAATAGAAACAATATTTTTCTGAATAGAATAATAATAGATCTGCACAAGAAGAAAGTGAAATTAAGTGTGAGGAGGAAGGGGCAAGCAGACAAGCAGTACAAACTGTCGGATGGTCTGTGTAGTTTGAACAGATGTCTGATGAAATATTAAATCTACAAAAGCCAAACCATACTTTGGGTTTTGATTTATTCATATTGTCCATTTTAGGTAATCATTCCAGACAATGAGTCTATTTTAGACCAAAGCTATTAGATTTTGGGCTGCAGCTTTCAAGTGATATACACCCAGTTCAAATTCCTTCATGGACTTTTGCACAAATATGGATATGCATAGCAAAATCTAAACCTTGTGAATAACCATCAGAAGCAAAATCAGAGATGTAGAAAAAAAGAGAAAACCAAAATCCTGGCACTTATGCTGTTATTGATGCTTGTTTAGCTGATATAGGGTCTACTAGGTATAGGCTAATTTAGTGGAATTAGTAATTTTGTTTTATTGGGAAATGCAAGGATATTTCTGATGGTAGGTCACAATTTGGTTTCCAGGAAAGTTTTCATATTTTATTTTCTCCAAAGCAGAAAGCATTAAAAATTATTCAATATGATTTATTTATTAATCACTGTTTAAAGGCATGTAATTTAACTATACCAATTGGTACAGAAAATTCTTTTTGTAAATTACACAATTGTGGGAAACAAATTATCTTGGACCAGAAAATAGGTTGTCTGTGACATCACTTGTCTGGTCTAGAAAAACTATTGTTTAAACTCTACTTTTCGTTTTGGGTTTATGTAATATATATATTAACTTATATAAATTAATCTGTGACAATAATTTGAAGTTATTTAAATCATACTCCAATCCTGAATTCATTTTCTTAAAAGTACCCTTTTTTCAACACAACTTATTCTCTAAATTCTAAATAATTCTAAATCCTTGGAATTTTAGGATTTTAAGATTTAATTCCCTGCAGTTAACCATCAAGCTTCTCTCACAATAACTTGAATTTTCTTGTATACTGAAAGTCCAACTACAAAAAAATATTGTGTGGTTACATGCAAGTGCTATGTAAAAAGAATGATAATATTTAATTGTTAACAGATAGATGTTACAGTTAAAATATGCAAAATATCAGGACAGAATTTTTTTTTTTTTTATTGCAAAAGTTTTACAATTACATTTTCACCCCTTTTTTTCACCCCCCCACCTCCCTCCCCAAACTAACAACTGTTGTTGTTAGTTGCGAAGTCATGTCCAACCCATTGTGACCCCATGGAAAGTATTTTCTAGATTTGTAATATAAGCAAGGGATAGCAATGAGGAATGAATCTTACCTTCATATTGTTATACTTTTCTGCTCAGATGATCTGATTACTTAACATATTACAATTTAATGTTTTGTAATGAACAGATACTATCTGCTATAGGAGAAACAGTTCAAATTAACTTCCGAATGAAACTTTTCTTGACCTTGGAAAACAACTTCATTAAATTAAATTGAATTGCAGTATCTTTCTTACCTGTGTGTTGAGTTTTCTTTTAGTAGTCTATTAACTACTCCAGGATGACACTCGGCAGAATTGCTGCTAGAGAGAAGGACAAAGAAGACTGCAGTAAATGTTAATGGGGTCCCAGCTTTTATTTTCCAGAGACTTGGGGAACTCCAGCTTATACATTTGTTTTTTTTAGTAGCACGTGATGATTTTCTTAAAACATTTTCAACCCTCAGGAGACACAGAATTGCAAAAGAGCTTTAAGGCGACATGTCAACAAAAAGACTGTAGGAGGCTTTACTTTCTTGGCATGATTTTCTCCCAAGGGATAAAGTGTTTTAGCTTATTACTAAATACAAAGGGCATCTTACAAGCCACAGGTGAATAGCTAAGCAGGGCACATTGGCAGAATACTGGTGGAACAAAAGCACATTGCATACACATTTCCTGGAACTATTCATTCTCAAAGGACATCCTGCTTGAAAGTGAATGTACTCAATCAATATTACTGTAAATATAATTGCCTTCCTGGAATTGCCTTTGATCCATTAATTGCACCAACTAAATTGTTCCTTATTATCACATTAACAAATAGGTTAATAATATCTCTTCTAAATATTTTTCTTGGAGTATGAAATTGTACTCATGTCTTTAATATATTCAGTTATCTATGATACATACACAGAATATAAACAAGCAGCAAGAAAAGTAGTGCTGAGATTAGACTGAGAATGGAGACGAGAAACTAATTCATGGTGTGTGTGCGTGCACGCGTGTGTCATGATAGTCAGATTTGCGAGTGCTGGCATCTTCTGAATGGCACAACTAATGCAACCAGCTTGCATTGTATATAAGAATATCTGTACGGAATATGGGCTAGATCCTCTTAAGTCCAGAAGGAAGATCTCACAGAAGATTATGGAGAATAAGAAAACTAAGAGCCTGTGCAACTTCCAGATCAGACAGACAAGCAGGTGCTAGCCAATCAACCAGACATCGTGGTGGTAGACAAGGAATGGTGGTGATAGATATAGCAGTGACAAGTGACAGCAATATCAGGAAGGAGTATGAACCTTGGTAGAAAAGAGGTTAGGTGCAGTATTGCAGGCAAACTCTGCCCAGAGCCTGAAGTTTGATCCTGATGGGGCTTAAGGTTGACCCAGCCTTTCATCCTTTTGAGGTCCGTAAAATAAGGACCCAGATCGTTGGGGGCAATATGCTGACATTGTGAACCACCCAGAGAGTGCTGAAAAATACTATGGGCAGTATATAAGTCTAACTGCTATTGCTATGAGAACCTGGCGAAATACCAGGGGCTGGAGGAAACTGGAGAGGATGTGGAAAGTAAAAGCCAAGGTGGTCTCAGTGGTAGAAGCACTTGGGGCTGTGACTCCTAAGCCGCAAGAGTGGCTCCAACAGATCCCAGGAACAACACCAGAGCTGTCTGTCCAGAAGCCCTACTGGCTGAAGAAGCTACATTCTGTCTCTCCTGACATTCCTCCTTTAGTAAAACAACAACAATCCTTCCCATTGTGGTAGAATCCTCAGCCTTCATTGCTCTGCCCTATCCACATACAGTATGGTTTCCATGGTCAGAGACTTTCAACTTCAAAAACAGAAAGTCTTGGGTGGAAAGGAGCAGGAGCTGTAATATTCCTCTTATATTACAGCAACTCTATATGGTCCTTGGAATGATGTTTCAGGGATCAGAGGACCATCATATTAGACAATGAGGTTTTTCTACATTAAATAGGCTTTTCCAGCCAAAACAGCCATGCTACCTATTTAAAAAAAACTTGAAATTTGAGTTGTATGCATTCAACAGGGATCACAAAATCTATCATTTCAGAATTAAAATTAGGGATGATTTAACAAATCCTACGGTAATTCTAATATTCATTGGTTTGCCTTGTGCAAAATGTGAATTTAAGCCCATTTCGAAAGTTATTAACTCATAATTGAAAGCTGTATTAAATATTCCATAATATTTTATCATCAATTTTTTTAATGCTCCTTTGGCAAGGATATACTAGAAAACCATAATTGTCTTATCATATCACATACTGTCACTGATTCAAAATAATACCCCAGTGTGTAAAATTTGTGAAGTCCTTTGTAATATTTTAATCTTAATGTGCATCATGCATGGGTCCACAAGATACAGAAATAAAGGGGCTCTGAAGCCCAATATACTCCAACAACATAAAACAGTATTTGCTTACATTTGCATACAAATATGGGATTTCAGCCTAAAGGACTTAACGTTTGGAGACATTTGAATGGGAAAATACAACCCTAAAGATCAACACTAGCCCATGATACAATAATGACAATTGACAAATTGTCAAAGACAAATACTAGAGGTACTTAGAATATAATAGCTACATAAAGAAATAACTGGTCATCCCAAAGTTCTTATTACAACAGTAATAATTACTTTAGTTATATTCTGGTTGAATGCTTGACAGCTGATTACTCCCAAAAACCATGATTCTTGGGGGAGTTTTTAAATCAGATTAATTATAGGAAAAAAAAGGACTACATTGCAAAAAAGCTTAAAAACTGGTTTGTTTTCACTGCCACTTTCCATTTTATCACCCAGCATACCAACACAGGAATTTTATTGCCTGTGTGTGCTGGCAAAAAAAGTGTTATTTTAAGTGATAAAAAGAGAAATGTCCAAGTGTCCAGAATGGAATCTCTTTCAGACTTTGAATGTACCATTACAGTGGTTAACATATTTTATAAATAAATCTAAAAATACAGATTAAAATTAACAGGGATTGACTAGGAGAAACTCTGAAACTTTTTTAGTTATTTTCATTTGTAAACATATTTTACCATTTAGAATGGCAAAAAGAATTACATCAATTCTGACAAATTTCAAATCAGTAAATTTTAAGTAATTGGTGTATTGCTTCAAGAGGGAGACATAGGTACACAAAGAATCTCTGTTCCCAGTTTGCTGAGTACAAGGGTATTTTTTAAAAAAAAATCTTCATTCTTTTTTGTTTTTTATCAATTTATATGGTCATGCACTTGCCAGAATGACTCCAGGCAGCTAAGAAAACATTAAAAATAATAAACAAGAACAAAAGCAGACTGCCATCTGGCCAAAAATCCAACCATGCCATGTGGTTCTTAAAACTTGTATCCTAGCTCAAACACGTAGGGAGAAAACCTGTTTTAATGTTTTGTGAAGATCATTCAGTAAGAGTGGATCAATGATCAAGTATACTTCCTAGGTGTCACTGGTACAGAGAAGGGACCTAGAGCATATCTAACCTAGGAGAGTGTGTGCCATGGGATGATTTAACTGGAGCTAGGCAGTCCAACAAATAATTTAGTCCTATGCCATTTGAGTTTTAATTTAATATGAAGATCTGAAAAGGCGTACTACCCAACTATTATCAGAACCTTAAGATTTTTTAATCAACATTTGAATAAAATATGAATAATTTGAATAAGATTTGAGAGCCAGTTTGATCTAGAGGTTAAGGCACCAGGCTAGAAAGCAGGAGGCCATGAATTAAAGTCCTGCCTTAGCCATGAAAGTAGTGACTTTGGGCCAGTCATTCCCTCTCTCAGCCCAACCCTCCTCACAGGGTTGTTGTTGTGGGGAAAATAGGTAGAGGAAGGCATGTTAGATATGTTCGCTGCCTTGAGTTATTTGTAAAAATATTAAAAGTGGGATACAATTAATTATTTTAATTCAATCAATAACTCTAACATCCAATATACCTGGGATGTGTATAGTGGGCAGGGAAATGTGTATGTGAGCAGGGGGTGGCCTCTGAAAAGTTAAGTATTAATCAGAGTTAACTATTTTAACACAGGAAGGGGCAGGTAATTAAAAAGGGACATGAACAATTTACCATAATCTGGCACACGGGAGTGTAGTTAGAGCACACAAAGGCACACAACGCATGCACAAATTGTTGCTGTATAAAATGGTGCAAATATGTGGTATACACTGTTACCTGGAATATTTTAAAATGCAGTAGTCTGTCTTCCTATATGAAGTAGCAATAATAAAACATAGCAGAGTTGGCATACTTAGATTTGTAGAGTAAGCATTACATAATCCTTTGACAATGCATTACAGTTCGTATGCCCATGTCTTATAAAATAAGCACTTAGATTTGGGGAGGATTCACTGTTTTCATAGCAACAATAACATAAGTGGATAGTCTCTGGAAAAATATCAGATTAATTCCTTATAAAAGATCCTCTGGGTTTAGATATAGATTCAAGCTACTCTCATAATAAAAAGTTCCAGAGAACCTTCCACAGTCAGTTTTCTTTGAAAGATAGAATACTAGAAACATTTTACACTTTTTCTAATAATATTTAGAAATATTTATGAGACTGCAGAGAGGTAAAAACAGGCCCATAACAAACAAACGATACTGAATCACAGCACTGCTGAAGTTTCAAAATATTGCCAACCACAAATTTTTTTGTAAATTTTAAAAGTAAGTTTTCCCCCGGGTCAAATTTCAACTTGAACATAGTATCTTGTAGTAATATTTGCTTTTGCCTAATTGTTTTTATTTCCTAATTCCGAATTGTTTTTAGTTCCTGTCTTCTGCCTTGCACTCCATGTATGCTTTGTGATGAAGTATTTGTATGCTTTATCTTTGGAGTAAATTTAAGAGGGCTCATACTGCCCATAATATTTTCTGTTTTAGACTATAACTCTAAATGTGGGACTTTGAAAAGATTTTCTAATCTCTTCCAGACTGCTGAGAATTAATGGCTTTTAACAAGAGATTCTTAGAATTTTCTGAGCAACGCATGATTTGCTATTAGAGTCTATGGGCAAGCACTCCACTATATTAAAGAGAAACGAAGTTTATGAGATATATATGTCAGATTCAAACCAGCCCTGATTAATGAACCACTCATAACTAATTCATTGTGCCTTTGGTTAAATTAATTGAACTGGGGAGGTGGCGGGGATAACTTTTTCAAACAAATTGGATGGCTTTCTCATGAAATGAAATAATTAGATGATGTTGTATTTATATTTCAGCTAAGTTTATATGACCTTGGACCAGTCACTCTTTCAGTCCTAGACAGAGGGCAATGGCAAACCATTTCCAATCTTGCCCAGAAAACTGCACGAACCTGTCCAGGAATCAAAACTGACTTGAAAGCATGTGCACACCCATATGCCCAAAAGGATTACATGAAGCTTTGCTAACATTCAAGGACAAAGATATACCAAACAAACAAAAATGAAAAACAAAAGAAAATCCAAAAGGAGGAACTATATTTATTTTACAGAACAGTGTAGATTGTAGTCATAAAGAAGAATATTAATAATCACAAGAATCAAGCCATAACACAGCTATATAAATGAAACAATGCTGAAGGTAACAGTCTAATGTGGCCCATGATGAAGACTTCTAAACTGGCTCCATAGGACAGGAGGCTAAGATAACTGAATTAGTTCCACATTACTATTGAAAAGGAACTGGTAAATTCCTTGAAGAGACCCAAGAACCATCTCCCAAATAGAAGATTCAATTCTTTCTCACTAAATTGTACCTAGTTTAATATTAATGTATTCGTGTATGACCCTTTCTACCTTTTAAGCAAGAGAACTGAGTGATGAAAATAATTCTCATAGATTTTATTTAGTGTTACATTAAATTACCTAAGAGCGCCATCTATTGGGAAAAGGACCTCAAATTGAAGAGAAAAAAATGAAGATGGGGGGGTGTCTAAAGAGGCTTTTATTTTGAAATTGCTGCCTCATTCACTGTATTTGGGGGGCAGAGAAGGAAGACCCTAATCATTGATAAAATATGGAGGTATGGAGGTTATATTTACAACTTCAGTATTTCTTTCCAACATTAATTCAATTTTTCTTACAAGAAATATAATTTAAATAAGAAATGACACAACTGCATCATGCTTGGCAATGCTGCAGGCCCACTCTCTTAAAGCATTCCAAATTTCTAAAGCATACGTATTTACGTTTCCTAAATCTCTTTACACATTAAGAGAATATCAGGACATGCAAAGCCCAGGGATACAAAAAGTTCAAAACTTTTCAGCCAAGTTAAAGAAACCTGTTTTATATTATTTTCTGCACCTTAAAAGTGCTTGCCACTTCATCCAGAATCAAACCATGGATGGAAGATGTTTTTAGTTATTGATTTGGCATTTAGCTTCAACACATTAAGATGTGATGGGGATGCTAACATGGCAACGAGGAAAACTCCATCTGGGAGAGAGCAAAAAAACCCTGGGGACAGCCTGATACTCCCCAACCTTTTTTTTCATTCCCTGGTTTATTAACCTTTCATTGCTGTATCTTCTGCATCATCATATCAGACAACATCACCACTACCTTCTCAACCACTTGCCTTCTCATCCATTTTCCTCCTTACAGCAGCAAAATAGATGATTAATCTTTGATTAATCTGACATGCCAAGTGAAAGAGAAATACATAATCAAATATATTCCTACGGATCAAATCTGATTTTCAAATTGCCCCAATCTCAAAATGATCCAATTTTCTCATCTGAAAGCCTCCAAGCAAGGAACAGCTTTCTTTCATAATGGGTCTAGCCAAGAGGTTGCCAGTATGGTAGTGACATGATCTTCAACTTTGTCTAATTCCTTTCTGATGTTAATTCACTTGGGAGGCAGCCTCACAGAACTACAAAGTTTCTACCACAGTCTACGAAGATCAATTGTGGTAGCGAAAGGAGTTATTCAAAGGACAGATTCATACTCTTATCAGTTTTGCCATTTTTCTAGCAATCCATTAAAGTTGCTACTGTTCCTGCTCATACATCCTCACTGAAAGAAGCACCTGATCCTTATACTATGGCAAAACAGTAACAAGGCTTTCTTATATAGACTGATTGCTTAGACCTGCCAAGAACCCACCAACCTCCTTGCTTAACTTGACATTTTAAAGATATCTTAATTTAAAAAAAGAAATGGGAAAATGATATATTGCAAAGCACCAGCTTCTAAATTTCCCCTAGGTCCGTGATGGCGAACCTATGGCATGCGTGCCAGAGGTGGCACGCAGTGCCCTCTCTGTGGGCACGCGAGCCGTCGTCCCAGTTCAGCTCCGTCGTGCATGCACGCGCGCCTCCCACCAGCCAGCTGGTCTTCAGGTCTCTGCCGCACATGCATGGGGGGCAGGGCGTGTGCACTTATGTGGGGTATGTGCAGGGGGCGCATGCACGTATGTGGAGGGCACAAGTGGGGGCGCACGGAGGGTGTGAGCACATGTGCTGTGGAGCATGTGCAAGGGGGCAGCACACGCATTGCATTTTTGGGGTTCGGGTGCACACACTTTGGGCACTCGGTCCAGAAAAGATTAGCCATTACTGTCCTAGGTCCTCCTGGAAAATAAAAACAGTGGATCCTTGTAACTCATTGCTTGATTTGAAAATGTGACCATCTGTAGGAAGAGTAACTTTATGTGGGAAGCAGCAACTTCATCAGTCTTGCTTCAGTTAAAATGATTGTTATCTGACTGGCCTGAAATTATTTTGTGAGAAAACCAATAAAGTTCCTAAAATTTCAAAAGGTACTCAGCAATCCACAATTTGTTATTCAATAAATATATGGTTCGTAGAATTTGAACAAAATAGGATAGAGGAAATCAATAAAAGCTTCCTTTTATAATTTCTAAAAGAAAACTGGAGGAAGGGTAGGAAGAAGTGGTTTAAATTTTATAATGGTGTGGAAATATAATATCAATTTCCTTTTTAAAAATCTTCCTTAGTCATAATAACTAAACAAAAAAACTACAATTTGTCTCACAAAGGAAGAATTCTATATAGATTTGTAATAAATGTGTCAATTTATTGACAGTATAAAGCTGAGTGATACCATGCTGTTATATATTATGACATTTTTTTATTTAGAAAATTTACCTGGATGCCCTTTTCACATATGAACTCTGGATGGCTAATAACAATCAATGAGAAAAACATAACTTCTATAAATTAATATTCTTCACGCCAATCAGAATTTAAAAGAATCATAGCAGACTTACAAAGGCCTTATAAACTCACCCATACAAACCATACCTACACTGGACTCATTCAACATCCTAGCCCAGTATCTTGTGGGGAAAGCAAAGTCTTCACAGCCTTTTGGAAGAGGCCCTCTGGAACCAGTGGGGAATTGTTCCATGGAGCAGGCACTGAAACAGAAAAAGTTTAACTCCTTGGACCCACAAGATGACACTATTTCATAGACAGGTACATGCTCTGTTGAAACTGGTGGATAGGCAGAAATCTCAGAGATAGGTAGTCCTGCAAGCAATTTGGCCCTGTGCCATGCAAGACTTAAAGATGTTAAACTGTATGTTGAGTTGTAACTATAAGCGTAATTGGAGCCAGTGCAGCTCATTTAACAACAATGTAACCCAGGCAAACTTTGGGTGCACCCAAAATTGCACCCACCGCTGGTTTCTAGACCAGATGAAGCATCTAAGTATTTTTTTAAGGATAGTTCCGTATAAAGCACATTACAGTGATTCAATCAGGAAGTGACTAAGGGATGAGCAAATGTAACCAGATCCTCTCAATTCAGGAATGGGAGGATTTGGCACACACAAAATGAATTTGTCCCTCCCCTCTGCAGCCACTAGCTATTCAAACAGGAAGCCTAAGTCTAGGAAGAATCCCAAATTGTGTGGGATTCAGTGGATTGTTATCTCACTGAATATTATTATTATTATTACTATTATTATTTATTCAATTTATATACCGCCCTTCTCCTAGTGGACTCAGGGCGGTGCACAGCCAAAACTAAAATACATAACAATACAAAATTTAAAATTAATTAAAAGAATTATATACTTTGGCCCGAATTAAAACAGTGCGAATTAAAACCCATTAACAAATTAAAACTAAACAATTAATAACCATTAAAAACTAAAAAAGGGGGCGGGGTTCACGCCAGCCCTGCTTGCTGAAAAAGAAGAGTTTTCAGGGCACGGCGAAAGACCCGGAGATCCGATATCCTTCTTATCTCCGGGGGCAAATCGTTCCAAAAGATGAACAATCTATAGAATCAGGCGGCCCCAAACCCTTGGGTCTTGATGAGAGTGGCAGCCTGTTCTTCCTCATCCAGACTCATATAGCCACTGGGCAAGCATCTCAACAGCATTCACTTATCCAATCAAGGATAGTGATAATAATTCAGTATCTGTTGGAGAGAGACTGGCAGAACCAGGGAGAGAAATCAAGTGGGGAATTAAGAGTCTCTACATAGTCATAAGAGGACAAAGTCCAACCTCCCTTGAATGCCATTGAACCTTACCTAGTTTTACCCAGGTGCAGACTGTTAGTTTGAAAAGATTTCTGTGAATAAGCTTGACCAATAAAGCAGTAAATTGGACCTGTGTGTGTGGAGCTGATTGTTTATGGCTGACAGTATCATTGGCATACTGATATCTCACTCCCAATGGTGACAATGGATGACCTCATCCAGTTATTTCATACAAATATTAAATAGGACTGGAAAGAGAATCAAGTCCTGAGGCACAAACTAGAACAAACAAAGGATTAGACCAGTGGTTCCCAACGTGGGGCCCACGCCCCATATGGCGGCAATTTGATTTTTAATGCGGGCAATTTGAACCTTGTTTAAACCAAGTTAATGGCCTTTCAGGTTTCCTCCGCGTGTGTTGTGGTCTGCCAGCAGCCTGTGGAGCTGGCAGCAGAGTAGGACAGTGATGAGGCTGAGGAAAAACATGGGCCAGTCCTGGAGGCTGGGGAAGGCCCGGATGAGGGCTCTGCATCAGGACGCAGAAATGGGCCATCGGGGAGTGAAGTGCGGACTCCAGAGCCTCCAGAGACTGATAGTAGTGAAGCAGAGGAACAGGAGGAGCCTGTTCCTAATGCATGCATGAGAAGAGCTGCCAGAAGGCAAGAGCAGCTCAAGCAAAGAGGACAACTCGGGAGTAGGGCCAAAAGATGATTGGTCCCTCCCATAAGGCTTAAAACAGACCAGCAACAGCATTTGGGCTTTGCTGGAAAACAACATTGGTAGCTTCGTCTTCTTCTTCGTCTACGTCTTGTATTTATTTTTGTATCTGTGACTTCTGAACGTTTGCCAAGAAAGGCCTTTGGCAGTTTGCCTAATTGGACTAAGGTCTGCGATAGGACTGAGGAATTTGTGTTGGGAGGAATTTGCTTTAATTTAGTTGAATGACGCTGGGAATGAATAATTCTTAGCTGTTCAAATAAAGTTTGTTTGTTTTTTCACTGACTGATTTTCCTATTACTTACTTGGGCCTGGGTCAGCAATACAGGAAAATAATAATGACTGAGACAGCAAGTTCATCCATTAACAATTACAACAATTACATTATATCCCTTTATAGTACAGCAAGTATTCCAAATCTCTACAGGATAAAAAGTATTCATCCATATAGCTGATTGTTTGGTGTGTTCTTTTCTATTCTGTAAACATGAATTTCAGTTCATAATTTGAAATAATCATTTGGTCAGAAGTCCTTGAAATGTTTCTGGTAAGAAAACAAATGACCACAAGATGGAGCAAGTACGTTTTCTAAGAGAAGAATTTTAAGAATAAGGATTGCCTGAATTTTATGTGGAAAGGTATCTTTTCAAAAATTCCAAATTTGAGGGCAAGGTGAAAGTATTTTGCTCCTATCACTTTCCGTATTTGTGCTGGTTATAGTGTTTTAAAGGAGGAGAAAATGTAAATAAAATTTTAAATAATTATTCATAATTGGAGTAATGGATTTTTCATTTTGCAACAAGATCCAATAATGAGATGTACAACTAGGCCAAATGGAAATGAAAGAGAGAATTACATTTGTAGCCCAGTCAGAAAAAATTACTGAGTCTTGATATTAAGTTATATCAGTTGTTCCCTAGGCCCATATTCTAAACCAGAGTTAGGCGTTTTATGGCCTGTAGGCCACATCTGGCCCTTTGACTATCCCTGTCCAGCTTGCAGCACTGGCAGGAGCTGCAGTAGGGGGACGGGGAGCATCAACCCTCCATAACAATTCCAGTTTCTCATATGGCACCTTGGGAAAATTTGCCCATTCCGGTTCTACATTATGGCAAGCAACAGTTCTGAATTACAGAACTGTTGCCAAATTACAAATCTGTTGCCAAGCTATTGAAAACCTATATAGATTATAGTGATATGTTCTCCCTCATGGTAGCCATGTTGTGATGACAACTGTTATAACATACTGCAATAAATATTGAATATAAGTTAAATCATTAAGCAAATAATTTTCTGAACTTCATGTAGTCTAGCAATGTGAAATCCTATATTTCTTCTACAATGTATAGTTAGAGACTTGAGGATGGTATCATAATAGAGAATACATGAGATTTTCTAAATATGGTGAATTACTTGAAAATTACCCTCAATTCCTGCTATGTGTACTGTATTTTTGTTTCATCTATATTTATTGAAAACATATAATCATTACACTGGATGTCAATGTTAAGTACATATCATTATTTATAAAAACAGTTTAACCATCTTATTCACTAAGAACTCTACAGACACCAACTATTTTCACACACTAAGCTCAGGGAAGCTTATGCTTTTTAATAAAGTGTTTTTGACTATTCTATGTTTGTCTATAGATTAACATGGCTCTTCTCCAACTACCTAAGTGTAATTTGCTTGCATGTGGTTGTCCATATTGTGCATGCAAATCATGTGTATGCCATCACCTGGCTTATGAATTTAACCCATTATGTTTAAGCAAACTATTATTATAATGTAACTGTTACAGTCACATAGTATGATTTACTTTTTATAAAAATGAAGAACCAAATGTTAAATATCGCTTAACTAAATATCTTCTTTTTCTTTACTTTTTCCATTTTCTGGGAGTAGCACAACTACTGCATGATGCACTTTAATTCTGTAAAAATCAGACTTCACTCTCTTGCCACTATTATTTCTATTGGAGAGAACCACTGCTTCTGCAATGATCATATTGACTTTTCACCTGCTTCATTTCCAAGCTACTCCTGTCCTGTGCCAATTTCCCTTGACTCTTTGTGGTGTATAAATCTAAAACTGGGGCAACAATCTGATGCCCTTCAAATATTTTGGGTAACAATTTTCAAAATTACTCAATACTCTACTTAGGATTTATGGAAACTTCAGGCCAAAACATCCAGAGGCTCCGGGCATCCTTCCCCTGACCTACATTGGCAGTGATCCACATCCAAAAAAGTTAATAGAGAATATTATGTTTACTTAGCATATCAAATTCTTCATTAGTGCAGAATACTGCAATGAGCTGCCTGGGTTGTACGGATAAAATCAACACATACCTCCAAGTCTCTAACCAGGTTTTTCCCATTGTGCTCCTTTTGCTTCTAGCCCTTCCAAGTTCTCTCTTTCTCTTCTCTTTCTGCTTTTTCTCGTCTCTTCTTCCATTCCTCCTTTCCCTTCAACCACGGTACTCATCACTTCTTCCACCATTCATTCCGGGGCAGAAGTTGAGAGTGAAAACGAGCTGGCCAGATCTGCGATCCTGCAGGGCTGTAAGTAAATCTTAAAAAAACCGCCCCCAGGCGACTATACGACATACAAATGTGATAAATAAAATATAAATAAATAAATAAAACGCCCCCAAGACAACTCCCGCGCCCTCCTTTTCTTCATCTCCCCCCCCCCGCCGGGGACGGTTTCTTTTCGGCGCCTTCCGTCCCACCTGCCAGTCTCCTTTTGGGGAGCAGGCAGACAGGCCGCCCCTTTTCTTCCCTCGAGGCTGCTCCTCGAGCTTTCATCCCTCCTCCCCTTCCCCCCAACGGCTTCATTTCTTCCCGCCCTTCGCTTGCCTTCCCTCTCCGGCCCTGCCTAAGCCGCCTCGCTCGCTTTTCAGCCGACTCAGCCTAGCCGGGAGCTCCGCCCCCGCAGCACGCACCACCTTTGCCCCGCCCCGCGAAGCGGCCGGGGCCCGCTATTTCAGGGAGGCGGGGCCAAAGGTGTTAGCCCCGCCTCTTGCCGGGTGGTGACTGCGTTGTGTGGGCCCGGCGGCCGCCGCCGCTCTTTTCTCCAGCTCCACCGCCTCTTCCTCCCTCCCTCTTTCCCTCCCTCCCGCAGTCATCGCCCGGCCGCGCGCCATGGCGGAGCCGCCCGCTTCTCCCGCCTCGCCAGGAGCTCAGCCGGCGGCCGCTGCAACCCCCGCCGCCGGCTTTCAGCGGCTGCTCTTCACTCACGACCTGGTGTCCGGCCGCTATCGGGGTTCGGTGCGCTTCGGCCTAGTCCGTGTCATGCATGGCGAGGATTCCGACTCGGAGGAGGAGGACGGCGGCGGCGGCGGCGGTGGCGGCGGACGAGGCCCCGGCGGCCCCGGGGGAGGCGGCGGCGGTGGCGGCGGAGGAGGAGGAGGAGCCGGCAGCTCCGGCGGCTCCGAGTCCGGGGGCCCCGGTGGGGGCGAGGAGAGCCGCGGGAGCCCCCTCCGCCGCGGGTACGTGCGAGTCCAGTGGTACCCGGAGGGCATCAAGCAACACGTCAAAGAGACCAAGGTAACGCAGCCGCTCGAGGCTCCTTTTTGCATTTGGTCCGCACACGCGGCGGCTCGGTGGATTGAGTGGGTGGGGTGTCCGCAATGGGGCTGAGAAGGCGGCGGCGGCGGCTGAGAAAAGGGTGGGGAAGGGAAAGAGGTGCATTAGGCTTGGGAGGGTCTCCCGGGGCTGACAGGTGGGAGCGGGTTTTGGGGGGCAAATAAGGGGAAAGGGGGGTAGCGTTGCGGGGGGGGGGTCGAGAAGAAGTTGGGCTGGAAGAAGCTGGGCTCTTTGGCCGCCAGAATGTGGAAAGCCTCCTTTGCACCACTGGGGTTGCCTGGTCTGCAGTGTCTTTTTATGCAAAATAGACCTCATTAAGGCGCCGAAGGACTTCTTGGTTTCTGCACCAACGTGGAAATAAAAGTTCCAGGTGCTGGTGGAGGTTTTTTTTTTATTGCTCTGGGTCATGCAGATGAGATTTTATGAATGTGTCAAGATGACATTGGCTTCCCTTCGACCACCTCCTGTCTTTGGCCACGATTGCTCTCATTTTTTTTCTTTACAGACAATATCAGTTGAAGAGAAAAGCTGCAGAGTGCCTTTTGGGAAAAAGCACTCTAGCACTAGGCAGCCTCAGTTGGGCAGCATCCTGTTTCTTGCATCCTTACCTCATCATTCCCAAAGTCATTTTTAATAATTTGTAAGGAAATGCATTCTTTTCAGCATCATCCACCGTAGTTTGGGCCTCACCTGTAATTCTGTGTAGTGAACAGAATCCTAGTATATTAGAAATAATCATTCTTGGCTTAATTAAGGGATTTTTCTTGTCTTGCAGTAATATTTTGGTGTTCTTAGGTTGTTTCTAATTCACAGAACTGCATCCAACCTCTGTTTCTGACTATATGGTTCTAAATATGTAGGGGAGTGGAGGTTTTGGAGGTACAGAATTCAGGCATATTTTTGTGAGATATTAAAATTATATTAAGGGTGGATTGTATTATCCTGTCTGAAATTGTGGTGGAGTCTAAAGAAATCATTTTGTATTAATATTGTTTTCTAAATTATAATAGTTTTCTGGAATAAAGAAAATGACTATAACAAAATACCTTTGAAATGAAAAATATTGGAGATTGAAAACTCTTGATTGGAACACATCATCCACTGTGCATAGAAAAAAAAGAAAATTATTGTCCTGCTATGGTATGTGTATGTGGTGTTTGTGTACATACATACACATACAGAGAATAGAAGGCTCAATGTGATGTAGTCCTAAATGAATTATTTTTAATTTCCTCTGGTGAAGTGATTACCAAAGTTTGTAAACTAATTTACATCAAGATTTCAGAAGTGTAAAGTTTGAATACAAAGAGTCTCACAAAAAGGAGGGAAGGGATAGGCACTAAAATAATCTAAGAAAGCAGATGAATGTCTGGATCTGAAAATTTATGAGATGGGATATTATGTCTCACATAATTATGCACTGTTAGAGGTAAGTTCTATACACATTGTTGCAAGCATAATTTCTTGATCTGATTATGCATGCTTTCCTATAAAGAAAGTGATGCATTCACTTTGTAATATGTAAGTGCTATTGATGTTTTTCAATTATTGCACCCATTAAATCTAAGAAGAGTAGAAAAATGGTGTCACTGGCAAAACAAAAACTTTCAGAGCTTGTGCCTAAAAAGATTCAACATATGAATGGCTACTGGGCCCAGAGATACATAAACATATACACAATAAATTTATTAATTGTATGTAAACTTTGGGGGCTTTCCTTTAATCCTTTGTAGGAATAATCCAGGAAATTAGTTCTGTGAAGTCTGGTTAAAATTTATTAGGAGATGAACTTGAAAATCATTGGATTTGACAAAAGCTGATGGATTCAATTCAGAGATTATAAAATGCAGCCCATGTTAGATCCCTACCATCATTTTTGCTTTATAAAACATGTCATATATAATATGCAGGCACAGTATAATGTTTAGAGTTGGAGTAGGAGGTTCTATAGATAGTCGCATCATTCACATTTTAGTGCAATCTACATGCCAAAGGGATATATTTAACATTCTCAAATGAACAATCTTTATTGTATTTTCTTATCCAAAGGAATACATTCAAACTGTTATTATTATATGACAAATACTTTATTTTTCCTAGATGAGAAGCTTTAAACTTGGCACTCTCTTCCTCAGATTCAGATTATGAATTCATTTATTTTTTTTCTAAAAAAGGAAGTTGAAATCAAGCTTTCAGAATACTACAAGCATCCAATATTTTCCTGGGTTTCTTCTCCTTAACATAACGAACCTGTATCTCAGGAAGTCTTTTTAGATTTATATTTGTGTGTAGGCAAGGTAATTTTATAAATTGTTATTATCCAATACATCTTATTCTCTTCTTCCTTTCCCTCTGGGAATTAGGTGGTGTCTTAAAAAGAAACATTTTCAGAAATAATTATGGTGTTATTTATATTCCATGCCATCGCTTGCTTGATAATACTGAGGAATTCGATTGATCTGTGATAAATATTCTCTCTTGCTACTTCAAATAGTACAAAAAGCTAATCAGATTTTTTTGGTTTTCTGCAATTCTGTTTGATTGGAAGATGCAGGCAGCTACAAAACTGTGGTTGTACTTAACGAGAAGGAAGAAGTATCTTGTTTTTGTATCATTAAAAGGCTTATTTGGATTCCGTGTGAGACCAGCACTTCTCTCATTTTGAATAAATTGGCATACCTTTTGAGGCTTCTGGATACTGTCCCTTTTTATGACCTGTAATCCCTTGATTTAGGGTAGAGTTGGGAGAATTGGATGGAGATGAGCATTTACTGGCCGGATACCCTTCCTGATGCCACGCAGAATTCGCAGCAGATATTTTTTTCTTTGCGAGTAGCATGGTGGCCTAGTGGTGAAGACTCTTGCCTCCCATTTGGAAGGTTGAAAGTTCAGTCCTAGATAGTGGCAAATGTTTCTCTCCTAGGCTTCTGTGTAAACCTGAAAAAAGATACTGTTTCTTTAAACGTTTCTTTAAATGTTGATTTCTTAAAGCAGCATTTTTTTCTTATATCGAAGCTTTAAAAATGTAGGTTATTTATTGGTATACTGGTATAAATTCTGAAACATTTCTTCTGAATCATTTTTTGAAGTATATTCTGCCCTATCAGCAATAAAGTTCCAAGGACCAAGAGACATCTAGATCAAGTGTGTCCAACCTTTTGCGTGCCTGGCCGCATTGATTGAAATGGAATTGTTTTGGGCCACATTAAAAGATCTATAATATAATTAATAATATAAATAACAAAGTTCCTTTTTATATATTTTTAATTATATCCCATTACTAGATGTCCAAGGCCTGCAGGCCATGGGTTGAATACTCCTGGTCTAGAGGAAAACCAATTTGATCGAACATGAGCTACAACTGCTATTAAGGCCTACCTTGTGGATGTAAGAGCAGCGAAGTATCAATGCTTCTTTGCTCTTATTGCATCTGAAGAATACTGCCCAGTGGCCCTGTGTGTGTAAGATCATCTGGTCCTGTTGGTCAAGCCCCCCCCCCCCCCCCCGGACGCCTACCTTCAGGACTTCACAGGAAATTTCTTGGTGCATCTGGCAGATAAAATCATCCTGTTCTGATCCCATTTGTATGCCAAGCATGGGAATGTCCTGTGGAGATGCCTAGGGGAGGAACCTACCTAATTATCTGGAAACAGCTTGATCCTGTTGGACCTGAAGCGGACAGGGTCCATCAGACTGCAAACACACCTGTGAGTTAGATTCATATCCCTCCTGGTTGACCAAAGCTGTCCAAGAATTTTCACCTGGGTGGATCCAAGCAATGGTGAATTCAACCTTGATGGAGGAGATGTTTTTTAGCTCTTTTTAAAGCGATACTGGTGTGCCCTCTTTTCAAGAAGCCATTGCTGGACCCTATTGTGGACAATTTTTATCCAGTCTTGCACCTCCCCTTTTTAGAGAAGGCAGTTGAGACAGTGGTAGAACTACAACTCCAGAGGATCATGAATGAAATGGATTATTTGGACCCTTTTTGGTCAGGAACAAAAACAGCACTAGTCACACATCTTGATGATCTCTGACAGGAACAGAATGGGGATTTACAGATTAACAGTTGGAAGGGACCTTGTAGGTCATCTAGTTCAACCCACCCCCCCGCCCAAGCAGGAGACCCTATACCATTTCTGACAAATGGCAGTCCAATCTCTTCTTGAAAGTTTCAAGTGATGAAGCTCCCACAACTTCCAA